AAGTGCATCCCCTTGTTGGGCGTCTTCTTCACATAGTTCAGGATCTGGTTGCACATGATGAGGTCCTCCACCATCGCCTTTTGCATCACTGCCTGCAAGCGGTGGACTTCGTAGGCGATGTCCACCCGGCATACACGCACTAACCAGTTCAGGCTGCCCACGATGCTCCTGAGTTGGGCGCGTTCTTGCTCCGTCACATAGTGGTCCTTTTGTCGTCGGCGTTCGGCTCCGAGGTGTATCGGTCTTAGTTTCGCCGCATTGTTGGGGACCGTGATGGTGATGCCGTCCTTGCCCTGCTCCACGGTCCGTCCGCAGTAATCGAACTTGTCGCCGAATTCCAAGGCGCCGAACTTGAACTCCTTGATGATCTCGTCCATGACCTTGTCCATGGCCTCAGAGCCACTCCATAGCAAGTCATCCACATGAGCGATGACGATCCCTTGGAGTCCGTGGTGCTTGTCCTGCAGTACGTAGGCGGCGTGCTCTCCCGGTATGGCGCGTAGCCCCTTTGACAGAGCAACTCGGTGTAGACGTTTCCAAAAGCCTCTCGGAGCGTCTTTGGTTCCGTATACGGGCTTCCTAGCCCGTAGAAGTGCTCCTTCGGGTACTCCGGGAAGTCCTCCAGGCGGTGGTCGTAGAATCAAGGTCCTGGTGATGACATCTCCTTGCAAGAAGGAGGCCGTTATGTCGCCTCCTCGTAGTCGCCATCGCTTGTTGGCCGTGATGCTCAAGAGGAGGTTGAACATCATAGAAGACGCTGTAGGGCTGTCAGTGCGGGCACCTTCTGCTCCAGTCTCGAGGTCTCCTCTGACAACTATTCTCGACTTGTACCGGGGGTCTTCCCAAGGTTGCGCCTTGTTGTTGTCAACCCATCTCGTTGGGGTGATCTCCGCGTCCTTGTGCTCCTTGAGGTAGGCCGGTACGTCCTCCGGGAGGATAATGTCGACAGCCTCGAAGCCCTGCCAGTTTCCCCACTCCTTGAGTCTGGCATTGTCTATCCCCTGCTTCACGGCATCCGTCTCCTTGTGGTAGTGGAGTTCCTTGGACCTGGCGGCAGCGCTCTTCTTGTTAACTCTTCGGGCTAGGAAACCATGGAACCCTCGGTCGAGTTCCGGCGCTGGTCCTTTAGCAAGTAGCCCTCTTGGTGATCGCGATCTTCTGCGGGGAACTCCATCCAGTGCATCCACAGAGCGATGGATAGCATGTTGTAGTTCTGACATCCTCGCAGCAGAACCAGTTGTAGGCATAGTTGTGGACGCTGTTGTCATACTAGGCCTTCTACTAGATGGCATCAACTCCTGTTCGGGCTCCAGATTCGAAGATGTCCTAGACACGTTTTGCCTTTCGGCGGGGACCTCACC